TGTGTTGGGGGGAGCCCTGCGCTGGCACCCCGCTGCTCCCCGGGAAGCCGCTCAGCCCGCGCCCGCTGCCCTCATGGCCCCGCCGTGTGTCTGTCGTTGCAGCGGGCATGGGGAACCAGGTGGAGAAGCTGACCCATCTGAGCTACAAGGAAGTTCCCACGGCCGACCCGACAGGTATGGACAGGGATGAAGGACCCAGGATCGGGGTCTCCTACATCTTTTCGAACGATGATGATGAGCTGGAACAGCAGCAGGATTCATCACATGACCTGGGGGGTGAGCACCCTGCCGTGCAGCCCTACGACCCCCAGCTGCACGAGGTGGAGTGCTCCGTCTATTACCGGGATGAGTGTATTTACCAGAAGAGCTTTTCTGAGGACACGCCGCCGGAGGAGGGTGATGAAGGAGGTGGGGGACATCTGAGCACCTACACCCCGGAGAACTTACTGAATCGGTGCAAACCGGGTGACCTGGTGGAGTTTGTGTGCCAGGCGCAGTATCCGCACTGGGTGGTCTACGTTGGGGATTTTCAAGTTGTGCACCTGCATAGGCTGGAGGTGGTGAACAGCTTCCTCACTGATGCCAGCCAGGGCAGACGGGGCCGCATTGCCAACCGGCTGTACCGCTACAAGCCCCTCAGCCCGGCCGTGGTGGTGCGCAACGCCCTGGAGCAGGTGGGTTGCAAGGACCGGGACCTGAGCTGGAGAAACTCGGAGTGTTTCGCTGCCTGGTGCCGGTATGGCAAGCGGGAGTTTAAAATCGGCGGGGAGCTGCGCATAGGCAAGCAACCCTACCGCCTGCAGATCCGGCTGGGTGACAAGCGCAGCCACACGCTGGAGTTCCAGAGCCTGGAGGATCTGATTATGGAGAAGAGAAGAAATGACCAGATTGGTAGGGCTGCTGTGATCCAGGAGCTCTCCAGCCACCTGCAGGCTGCAGAGGAGGAGGAAGAGGAGGAGGAAGACCATCATCATCCAGGTGCTCGGACTGCTGTGGAGTAGCAGCCTCAGCACCACCGTGCTGCTGAGCCTGGGTGATGGGGATTAAAACTGAAGGCTGCGAAATTGAGCTGTTATAAGCCCTTTGGGCTGCTTCGGTGCAGCTTCATTCCAATCACATGTGAAAGGAAGGGGGAAAGCTGATTAAGTGTCTGTGCTTTAGTGCTTAACTCCTTCAGTGCTTGATGATAAAACCACTGACTGACTTGTAGAGGATAAAACTCAGGGCAACTCTATCCCTCTCCACTCCCACCTTTTTCCCCTTCCTCTCTGCCACCTTTGTGCATAGCCTTCCCCTCAACCATCTGCCAGTAGGCCTGACCCTACAAGATGCTAAATGCCTTTGACATCTACTTATCATCAGAAGTTAAGAGTATTTAATACTATTAAGAAGGAGCCAACAACTTTCAGGACATGGCCATATAGCTTCGACTTCATAACGAGTTGGTAGCTGAGAAACATGAGGATACTGTTTTCCCTTCTCTGCCAGTTTCTGTTCAGTTGTGGCTCCTCTTTGTATTGCAACAAGCTGGTTGCTCACCTGGTGCAGGGCTTCATGGATTGGTAGCCAGTCCCCAGAAGGTGTAAGGAGGAAATCTGCGCTAAATGAAATGGGTTTGATGTACCTGGTGCCTTCCTAATTGATAGAACTTGGAGGCCCCCCAGCCCACCTCCTCCTTTGCTCTCAGTGGGTGGCATTGAGGACAGAAGATGTATTTATTGCTGACAGGTCCCAGGGAAGGGTCTGACTAAGGGATCTGTGCATTGGTGTGTTCTGGGACTCTTACAAGCAGGTACTGAGCTATGCCAGTACCCGTTGCAGGCTGCCTGACCTCCCCCTAAAGCAGGTGGCAGAGCTCCCGATTACCTCTGTGGTACGCATCAAGGCAGTAGAAGCAGGTTGCTCATGTGCAAGGATATGTCTTGAGTACGCTGTCCCTCGAGAGGGTGGCCTCTGGGCTGGTCCTGCCCACTGTGGGGCCGTGAGCATGTCACAGGTTCTGCCCCACAGTAAGCACAGCTGTGGTGGGATGCGATGGGGGGAGCCCAGGCTGGAAGGCATTGCAGGCAGGGAGGTTAGGGTGTTCTTTTTTCCCTTCCTTACCACAAAGCAATTCCCTCTTCATTAGGATTTCATGTTTCCTTTTGTGCTAATTTTTGATATGCAGCTGAGCTATAGCATTAGACAAAAAGCGGGGACATGCCTCCAAAGTCATGCAGTCACTCAGTTAAACAGGAGTGAAGGGGGAGTACAGTGCTGCCTACCTTGAATATTCCTTGAACTTGTTTCAGCTGTTGAACTCGTCTCCCACCCAGGCAGTGCTGTCAGATCTTTGGCCTGGTATCTGGAAGTGTGCGAGCAAACACTGATTGGGCGGCAGCTTCTAATGCAAAATTCCTTCCCCTTAAAGCACAATAATGATGAGGTGAACTTGAAGATAAGCTTGAGTTCATTTAAATAATGGAAACTAACAGTGTGATGTAAACTTGAAGTGTAGTTAATACAGTCTTCCCCACAGTTGTTTACAGTTAGACCACAAATAGCAAAGTACTCTGTGTCCTTTCCGCCCCTGAGAAGAAAGCAAAGTTTGTCATTTAAGAATAGGTAGATACCAGCTTTTGATTAGTTAAGACTGTGTAAGCAACTTTGCCATTGTGATCCAAATAGGTTGTCGTGTTGTGTTTTCTGCCTAAAATACATGAGCTAGGAAAAAGCTGTGAAAACTATTTTTACATCCTCACCTCAGGAGGAAAAACAACTTCTAGGGTTATGCAAATACACCATACACTGTATCCCTAATGACTCCCATGTTTTCTTTTTGGTCTGTGAAATACCTGAATTCATGGGAGAGTTTAACACCAAGCTCCCTTAGAATGCTATAGCTCAGGTGTCTGCACTAATTATTTTTTCTCCAATATGCAATTGAGTAATACTCAAGTTACTGTGGTTGTCAAGCAGATATGCATAATAACTAACTACCCGTATCTAACCGTAATAGGGTTAATATGTGGATGTCTGCACACAGGTTTTATGCAACTGCTAGTAACACTAAAGCTGAAATGATCACTGAAATAGTCTGAGAAAGAGTGAAAGAGAAATTCTCTGTTGTGCTGACTGGTGTGAGACAACTGAGATTATCTAGACCATGAGTAAATGTCTGGCTGTGGTTTCTTTCGTACTGAAGCCTTGTACATAACAAAGTTTATTTCACTGTGTAATATAGGTATGTAAAATAATATTTTCTTACAGATATTTTTGAGAGTTAAAAAAATACCTTCATTACCTTGCATTTGAAAGTAAGTTATGCACATTATTTTCCAGTCCTCTGAATGGGTTTATTTTTCATTAGTGATCTAAAGTATATTCTAGGTCATAAAGTATAGAAACTGCTACAAATGTCAAATATTATGTATCTACAGGGTACTAAACAGTAAACTGCTTGTGAAAATATTTTTCCCTTGTGTCTGAAACACTAGAACTATGATACATTGCCAGTTCTCTCTTGAGATACCCTGCATAGTCTGGCTTTGTTTTCTGTTCTTCTTTTTTCTTTTCATTTTTTGTTTTATAAAATGAGGACCAAATCTGCTTGGGAATGGAGAGCAAAGCTGCTTTGACCAACTGAAATCGTGTCTTGTGCTGATCTTGGTGCTTCTCTCTACCGGTCATGCCTTTTGGGATAAATTCCCACAGGCATAGGGCCTTAGCAAAGAATCCCAGAGCTTGCACTGCCTTGCTAGGATGTAGAGCGAAGGGGGGAGCTTGCCTCACAGCAGGGCGGAGGCTGGCATGCATTCTGCTGTGTTATAAAACCTATATGCTCCTCTGACACCTGGGATACAGGTGGTCAGTATTTAAAACAAGGATATTTGCAATCCTTTAATTTCTCTGCAAGCTGTGATTGGTGATTTATTTTGTCTTCTGGTGTTCCATTATGTGCAGAAGTAGAAGGGGGAGGGAAGCCTGGAATTTTTGTATTTTGTCTGGAAGAGGGCTACCTCTACACAGGGATTTCTTATTCCAGGAGATAAAGATGGAACTGTTGAATCTTTAACAGGAGAGCCCTTTTTCTCTACCTGTTGATTAGGAAGTGTTATTTAATAGGTGCTACTAAACACCACTGTAAATGTTTCAGAGCAGTCTGGCTTTAAAGCCATGAACCCATAATGAGCTGGATGTGAGAACAAGAATTGCTGTAGAAGCACATCACAACTCCTTCGTTGGTTGTCGCCTGCAGAGTAGTCTGGGATTTCTAGAACTTGATTTTAAAGACAAAGATCTGCTGGGTATACAAAAAAAAAGACTGTTTATGTGTCTACTTCAAAACTTGTGTAGATCACAAAAGGGAAGGGAAAAGAACAGATAAAAGTGCTTTTCTCTGGTTTCTTCTTTAACATTCAAAAATGCAGGTGTCATCCTTCTGCAAAACCTCTGGTTCAGCAAAGCTCCTAAGCCTATACCGAAGTTATGAAGGTGTACGTAGACCCTATCTTGAGCCACTTGCAAAATTAGTAAGACAGTGTATTTGAAGTTAAATGTACATTTACATTTATTTGTGAGTAAGGGCCTGGAATTTCAATCTGAGGTCTCTCGTGGAAGCATGGAGGATCTGAGGTTGTGTAATCACTGGGGGAGAGCACGTAGTGCTGTCAAAGCTGTTTCTCAAAGGGCCTCTTGTTTGGACAAGACTCGTGGAATCCAGCCCAAACTTTGGCCTCAGTTTCCCCCTGGAAATCCAGGAGTTGCACTGATGCAGCGAGAAAGGTGTATTACACAGTAGTTTTACACTAAGCTGATGATTGTGCTGCAGACTGTTCTCTGGTTTCTTTTCCTGTCTCCTCATGCTTGAACTTTCCCTGGCGTTTTTAATATTTAAAGTTAATATCATTTGTTTTAAAAGCCCTTTGACTGTGCAAACACTTAATCATCTATATGAATTTACTCATTTGGGCATACCTACTGCTACTGATGGAATGACTGCTGTGAATATCATGCACATGTTAAAGCTGGCAAGACTAAACCCCAGATGTGTAAATGTAGCTCCAGCTAGGAAATGTAGATGAGCAGTCTTATTTCCCCAGAGTATCGGTGTGTTTGATGCAAATAATGTCTTGGAAAAGGCTTTACAGTAAAACCTGCTATTGCCCCTTGATAGAGTAATTTTCATAGAATCACAGAATGGTTTGGGTTGGAAGGGACCTTAAAGATCATCTAGTCCCACCCCCCCTGCCATGGGCAGGGACACCTTCCACTAGACCAGGTTGCTCAAAGCCTCATCCAGCCTGGCCTTGAAGACAGCCAGGGATGGGGCATCCACAGCTTCTCTGGGCAACCTGTTCCAGTGCCTCAACCACCATCATGGTGAAGATTTTTTTTCCTGATGTCCAATCTAAATCTCCCCACTTGCAATTTAAACCTGTTACCCCTTGTCCTTGTAAGAAGTCCACCTCCAGCTTTCTTGTAGCCCCTTCAGGTACTGGAAGGTGCTATAAGATCACCCTGGAGTGTTTCAGAAACAAAATTTAGACATTAATCTTCCATGGCAGTGAACAAGGACATAAACTGAAGACTATTTCAGGATACGTCCGATTCTGTGTGAATGCAAAGTATTGATTACAGCAAATCTCTAGAGCTCACCCGCCCGACTTAGTAGGTAGTTGCAGGGTAGGCAGGGAAAATACCCAAAAGATAATTCAGAAACTATATTTTCTTACTGGAAAAGTATATTCTTCAGACTGAAAGACCCTAGACTATGGAAGTAGACTTTCAATTGTTTTGTATAAATGGAACCCTAGGCAAACTTCTTGAGTTTTGTTCATTTAAATTCAATATTCCATTCTCAGTACTAAAATAAGTAATATTATGTGATGAATATATTTCGGATTTTGAATGTAATGGTGGTTTTGTTTTCTGTTCTCCTTTGGTTAAGTTTTACCAAAGGTCTGCCCTTGAGTGTCTGAAGTGTGTTGTCGAGTGGTTTCCCACCTGTGCTTTTCTGACA